AATATTGTTCAGGGGTAGATTCATGGTACGCCTATTTGCCCATCCCCTCCCACACAACCCTCAGTAACCACTCTGTTGTTCTCCCATATTTAGGAGTCTCTTATGTTTTTGCTCTTCCTGTCTTTATATTATTTTTTGCTTCCTTTCCTTTATGTTCATCTGTTTTTTGTATCTTAAAGTCCTCATATGAATGAAGTCATATGATATTTGTCTTCTCTAATTTCACTTAGCATAATCCCTCTGGATTCTATCCGCGTGTGATTTGCAAAATGTCAAGATTTCATTCTTTTTGATTGCCGAGTAATACTCCATTGTGTGTATATACCACCATATATATTCATTCATCCATTAATGGACACATTTGGATCTTTCCATACTTTGGCTGTCATTGATAGTGCTGCTTAATTGGGGTGCATATGTCCCTTCAAACACCATTGTATCCTTTGGATAAATACCTAGTTATGCAAGTTGTGCTGGGTCATTAGGCTAGTTTTGTTTTTTAATTTTTGAGGAACTTCCCCACTACTGGTTTCCAGAGTGCTGCTACCAGTTTGCATTCACCAACAGGGCAAAAGAGATCCTCTTTCTCTGCATCTTGCCAAGTATCTTCGTTGTTGCCTGAGTTGTTAATGTGCTTCTTTTTTTTTAAATTTTTTTAATGTTTTTTTGGAGGAAGACGTGGCGTGCGTGCTGAACACACACACACACACACACACACACACACACACACACACACACCACGGCAGTGGGGGAGGATAGAGAGATGGAAGCACAGGATCACGGGACTGAGCTCTGAGGCTGTGCAGCAGAGAGCCTGATGTGAGAGCTCAAACTCACAAGTAACATGGAGATCATGACTAGAGCTGAAGGCAGGGGCTTAACTAAACTACCAGTTGCCCCCCATGGATGTTCCCTCTCACCTGTTATTCAACAAAGTACTGGGAGATCTTAGCTAGTGAGTGGTGCTTTCATATAATAGACTTTTATGATCTTGAGGTAGGTCCTTCTGTCCCTACTTTCTTGAGGGTTTTATCAAGAAAGAGAGATGTATTTTGTCAAATGCTTTCTCGCATCATATTGAAGGATCATGTGGTTTTGTGCTTCCTTTTATTGTTGTGATAGATCTGATTGTTTTGCAGATATTGAATCAGCCCTGCATTCTCCAGGCCTATACCATCCCCTTGGTTGGTGAATTTTTTTAATGTATTGTTGGATCTGGTTGGCTAGTATCTTGAGGATTTTTTCGTCCATGTGCATCAGGGAAGTAGATATAGTTCTCCTTTTTAATTGGAAGTCTTTGTCTGGTTTGAATATGAAGGTATTGCTGGACTCATAGAAAGGGTTTTGGAAGTTTCCTTCCATTTCTATTTTTTGGAACAGCTTCAAGAGAAAAGGTGTTACTCTTCTTTAAATGTTTTATAAATTCCCCTGGAATCTGTTCATAATTTTTAAAAGCAAATCTATGCTGCCCACTATGAGTTGCTTGAGACTGTTTACATATTTGTGTTGAGTTAGCAGTACACATGTTAACATTGTTTTCTCCAAGGGAGTTTTTTTTGATCTTTGTTAAATTATTATCTCTTTGTGGCTTCCAGACTCTCAGTAATTGTGAGGAATTTTAATTTATGCTTAAGACTTCTCTCTAAGTTTAAAATAATCTTTTATATGAAATCTTCTAGGAAATATTTTGGACTGAATTAAAAATACTAACATCACATTATAATACTTGAATGAAATATATTATTAAAAGTAGTTCAGTTTATCCAGGTTTGTGCACTCTCTTAACACTGAAAAGAAGTTGTCAGGAGTTCAGAATATAAATTTCGGGAGGACAATCCATGTTGTTGTCTTTTGGTGATACAGATCATGTGAATAAATGGAAGAATTCATTTGATTACTTTCAAATTTATTCATGAAAAAGTTTTAATACCAAATAAGCTAATTTACATATTTCTAACTTCAGTGTAATCATATAATGGATTAAGTAAAGGACACCAAATTCACCTTCTTTTATAAAACCTCTCAGTACATCATGGCTTGGGGCCGAGGGATTATAATGCCAGTCACCTTGATCCTATCCCCAAAAATAAGTCACCTTATCATTATTTATATAATTTAATCTTGGCTACAGGCATAACATACTATGGGAGATAGTTGGTGGAAGTGAAATATGTGAGTCTTCCATGTCCTTTGATCTTCCATCCTTCATCAAGTCACCTATCTATTACTCTGTTCAACTTGATTTGCCCATGTAATATAGAACAGAGAGTAAATTTTAATTTTCTTTATGAGGCACTCCCTCACCCTCAAATAGCTGAGATTCTTTTGGGAAGCAAGAGAGGGGAAGTTTCAGGTTCTTTGTGTGTTCTTTTTTCTATCCATAAACCAGAATTGAAAAGTTCTACAATATATATGTTTGGAGCAGAAAAGAAAGAATAGCTGATTGTTTTGGAAACTCTGGTATCTGTTTAGTAATTTGAATTTATTGAAACTCTTTCTTTATATTATCTGAAGTATTATCCCTGAAGTCAGTTTAGATTTTTTTACCTAATTTTAAAATAATAAACCTCTGGGTGGTATTTAAAATTGGTCCCATTAGGGGCGCCTGGGTGGGCGCCAGTCGGTTCAGCGATCCGACTTCAGCCAGGTCCACTGATCTCATGAGTCCGTGAGTTGGGAGCCCAGCACGACCGACTCTGGGCTGATGGCTCAGAGCCTGGAGCCTCTTTTCTGATTCTGTAATGCTCCTCTCTCTCCTGCCCCTCCCCGTTCATGCTCACCAATGTCCCAAAAAAAATAAAATAAAGCGTTAAAAAAAATTAAAAAAATAAAATTGGTCCCATTAAACAATTTTCCTTATTTATTTAATTTATTTACAGCTGACTGACTGGCAGAGAGGGCAAGCAGGGGATGAGCAGAGGAAGAGAGGGGGCTCGCACACTATTGAATTCAGGAAGCCAAAATGGGCCACAAACTCACAAGCTGAACCATGAGATCATGACTTGAGCCAAAATCAGATAAGATATAACAGCTAGGTACATCTAGGTGCCCTCCCAATTTTTTCTTGAATTACATTTTAAGTAAAACTGTTTAATTTAGTGAGAGAGTTTGGTTTTGGATTATTACAAAACCTTTTCACGAAATACACAGATACATTACCTGCACCTATAAATTAAATGTGCATTTTATTTTCCAATTTAGAGTACACTAAATCTGAAGAACTACAAGACTGCTTCAGTACAGTCTGCGTCTGGAAGACAAATAGCTTTCAGGTCCTGACTACCGACAATTCATTATCCAAGTGCTAATTAGATTTGAAATAACATAAGATAATGAACAGGTGTCTCAGGCATTTAAGATATTTAAGCCTGCAACTCTAATATTCTTCCTTGTTTAGTACTATTTCATTAATGAATAAATAGTATTTGTTAATAATTTAGTATGTGATTGCTGATCTTTGCTTATATCTTTCTCGGAGAATATGATGCATTACACATTTTATAAAATCTTGAACTGCTTATCATTTACAGAAAGCTTCTAATGTTAAAATTGCAAGCTTGGAGAGCAGGTGTGGGAGGATTGGGGCTGGAGGGTAGAAAGTGCACATTAAATTCTTACCTTGTGGTTCAAGGGTCTTTTGAAAATTGGATTGATAGCTTATCCAAGTGTCTAGCCAATATACTGCATATATTCATGTATATGCACATTTTAAGTGAGACAAATGTCTTCATTTATGTGGTCCTCCTTCCTTCTATTTATGGTCTTTGTAAAGCTTCCTTATTGGTCAGCCTTGGGACCCAGGTTGGGTAGGGAGAATGAAGTCTTTTAGTTGAGTATCTTACACAAGTACAAAGTTACAGATGGATGAAGTTTGTCTTTTGGTGTTTCCTCTCCGTGCATCTGGCTGTCCAAAGCTGCCTCTTCCAGAACACCCCTGCTTGATCTTAACCTCTTGGTCGATTATCTCTTTCCTCACTCTACCTGTGAAAATACCTGTTGTTCTTAAAGATGCTTTGATTTAAATACATTACTGTAATTCATGGTCCGAGTCAACAGCCCTTGACTTCAATTGGGGGGGTGAGGTGGTCTTTAAAAAGGAAATTTATAATATCTATTAATGTATAATATATTGGAAGTTATTTTTTAAAAAAAAATTTTTTTACTTGTTTATTTATTTTGAGAGAGAGAGAGAGAGTGTGTGAGCCGAGAAGCGGGGGGGGAGAGAGGAGACAGAATCTGAAGCAGGTTCTGGGCTCTGGAGCTGTCCTTTTTGTAAACACAGGACTCAAACCCATGAATGGTGAGATCATGACCTGGAGCTGTGAAGGCTTAACCTACTGAGCACAGGCACCCTGGGAAGTTGATCCATGGTGATTTCCTTAGTACTTGTCCCTTTGCCATCGAGGTCTTCTCAGAGCTGGAAATCAGAATGTATAAAGGCTGCAATACTCTTCTTAACTTTACTTTTTTTTTTTAAGTGGGAACTATTTTAAAGGGATTGTAGATGGTACAGAGAATTTTACTATTGTAAAATCTATACACCGTATAGATTTATTTTCACATCTCAAACTATTTTACATTTTCTAAAGAGTGTTTAAAATCTTTATTTTACACCCAAGGACAGTGTGGAATGAACATCTTAAAGACATTTTCAAGGGTATAATGTGACCCAAGGGAATACATTTGCCTTTAGGAATAGTTTACAAGGTACGCTAATTGAATAAAGAAGTCATATATACTGATAAATGTTACCAAATAAACCTTATGAATATATGTATTCTTTTGAGATATGAGTTTATATTTTCAAGGTTTATTAAAATCTAAATGAATTCTTTTCACCTGTGCCTTTGTTGGCCTAATTAATTTTTTTAATGTGCCTCTAAATGCACACTTCATATAATATTGATAGATGGGAATGCTCATCTAATGCATTATTGAGGGTGTGAAGCAGTATGACAATTGGCAGAGCTTATTTGAACTTTACATAAATGCATTGTATCCTTTACAGAAAAGCAAATGCAGAAACCAGTAACAGGAATAGTGAGGCGTAATAGAAAAAACTAAAGATTTTTGAAATGATGAGTACACACACACGTATACACATTTACGATTTAAGGGGTATAACTATGATGTCCACTGATTGTTTTGTTACAACTTGTGCCTCTTAATGTTGAAGATACAACAATACAACATTAGTAGTTTCTTGTGAAACAACTTTTTCTTTGGACTCTGACACGAGAGTTTACAAGGTAGTGGGCACTGACATTTTATCTCTTGACAACTCAGGCATCTAGTTATCTTCCCTCCAGTGATGATGTACTCAAGGGCAGAAGTTTTCTGCAACCACCTTCAGTGGATAATGGAAGACATAGCCTTGACTATTAATCTCTGCTAGGAACCATCCTACCACATCTGTTGGCTCATAAGTGAAACAAATGTTCAGGTTAACCTGATCATGGAAGGAAACTTAACTTGAGGGCCAGCAAGAAGCTCCAACAGGAAATAGAAAGTTAAGTATAATAGCATATATTTTTTAAATCTTATCCTGGTTCTTCCAGACTGCCTGCTCCTTTAGTATGCTAATGTTGTGGACATAGATTAAGAATAATAAGTCGAATTCAGCTTCTGTGCGCTGTGTAAGTGGAGCCAAATCACAAATCTTGAGACCCTTTCTTCATTTGTCTTGTCTACTGGAAGAATTATCATGAAGACCAAATTTAAAATACATTGTGAGCTATAAAAGTTATATGTAAAACTTAAAAAAAAATAGTCGACTACCTGTCAAATAATTTGTTGTAAATAATTTCCAATGTAATTTGTTAATTTGGATTTTTTCATCAGTCATAACTGAATATGGTCTTTTGTTACAATGCTAAAATGAATTAATGTACTAACACATTAACTTACTGTATGCCAGGTACCATTCCATGTAGCTATTATTATATGTTTCTATTTACTAATGCTTAATCTTCATTTAACAAATGATGAAAGAGTAGAGAAAAGTTAACTTATCCTAAGGTAGCACAACCAACTGTGACTAAAGCCAAATTAGTTGTCGCTGCTTTTGACTACCTGTTACTATGTTTGTCCCAGGACACTTTCCCAATTTTCCACAAAAGATAGCTTCTAAATGGCTTCAAGTCACATTATTCATTCTGCAGCCATTATCGGAACTAGAGCAGAAGTGGAGTTACGGTGCAAGTACAAATTAGTGCAAATTAGCACAATTAGCACAAATTAGTTGACAGGAGGAAAAGCAGGGGAAAACTTTTCAGTTATTCCTCTGTACACCAGCAAGTATTAGGTCACAGGTTGCAAGCCTGTGGGAGATAATAGAGAAATGTAGTGTATCATTCCCAAATTTACATACTCAAAAACAGAGCAATATGGAGATATTACACTTTGGTTAGGAAGAGACCTCATTTTGTCCTGAAATTCTTTAAAATGTGCTACTAAGTGAATACCCAACCATCTGACACTCTCTGAATTTATGATAACATTGCCTTCATTTGGCGTTCATTCAACAAATATTGAGTGCTTACTCTGCTCCCAGGCGACAGTTTAAGGCCCTAGGACGCATCGAGTAAACAAAAATGAACTCTCTGCCTTGCATTTGTTTTAGAGTAGGAAGCTAGTAGTAACACCAAGGTAAAGAGGTATGGGACAGTAATGCAGGGGTAAAGTAGAGACTCATGGGGAATGTTTGAACTATTTTTTAAAGGATGGTTGGGAAAGACTCTCGAGAATGTGACATTTGAGAGAGACCTGAAGGACATGAGGGTGGGTAGTTGTTCAGGCAAAGGAATAACAGATGCAAAAGACTTTGAGGCAAGCATGATCTTAGAGTGTGGGTACAAAAAGCCCAATGTGCCTATAGCAAGGATTAGAGAAGGTAGAGGAGCATTAGGAAACTAGAGATCACATAAACTACATCAGAGGGTCATGGGGTCAAAATCAGGACTTAAGTTGGTTTGAGTGTTATAAGCCATTGAAAGTTTTGGAATAGGCATTATATTAATGACTAGCAAGATCTCTTTAGTTGATATTGGAATATTGACGTAGGAGTAGTAGAGCGGGAAGGCCAATGTAATGAATTTAGTGATGGCTTAGACCAGGCTGGTAGCAGTGGTAATCCTTGGCCAACAGTTTGGGAAATGTTTCTTATGTGAAATTGAAATCTGTCTCCTTGAAGTTTTGTACTCATTAGCCTTGTTCTACTACTTACTTATAGATGTATAGGGAAAAAACCCCAATGCTTTTATATACAGGATAACTTCACATGAAGGTAACTTTTAATTTTAAGTTGTTTCTTACAGTGTGTTTTCAGTTCTTTCACCATTTAGTCCTTTCCTGCATAGTGATATTAATGTGTCTTTTCAAAGAATGAGGGCTTAGATTAAGCATACTATTTGTTTTTTTAATTTATTTAATTCCGATGGTTAACATATATGGTGTAATAACGGTTTCAGGAGTAGGATTTAGTGATTCATCGCCGTATAACACCAGTGCTCATCCCAACAAGTGACCCTCCTTAATGCCATCACCCATTTAACAGCCCCACCCCTCCATCAATCCTCAGTTCTCTGTATTTAAGAATCTCTTGGTTGCCTCCCTCTCTGTTTTATCTTATTTTTTCTTTCCTTCCCCTATGTTTTATCTGTTGTGTTTCTTAAATGCCACATGAGGAGTGAAATCATCTGTGTCTTTCTCTGTTGTTATTTCACCCTAGCATAATACATTCTAGTTCCATCTACATTGTTGCAAATGGCAAGATTTATTCTTTTTGGTGACTGAGTAATATTTCCTTGTATATTTAACATCTTTACTACCCACTCATCAGTTGATGGACGTTGGGCTCTTTCATAATTTGGCTGTTGTTGATACATAAACATCGAGTGCATATGCCCCTTCAAATCAGTAGTTTTAATCGCTTTGGATAAATACCCTAGTAGTTTAATTGCTGGGTCTGGGGTAGTTCTATTTTTAATTTTTTGAAGACCTCATACTGTTCTGCAGGGTGGCTGCACCAGTTTTCATTCCACCAGCAGTTAAAGTTCCCTTTGCTCAGCATCCTCACCAACATCGTTTCTGGGTTGTTAATTTTAGCCATTCTGTGAAGTTGTGTCTCATTGTGGTTTTGATTTGTCTTTTCACTGAGTGGTGTGAACATCTTTTCATGTGTCTGTTAGCCATCTGAATGTATTCTTTGGGACACTGTTTATGTCTTTGCCCATTTCTTCACTGGATTGATTATTTGTTTTAAGGTTGAGTT